GTGTTGCAGTCTAACTTAAAGCAGCATTGTGTAGACTACTATAGAAAATTCATTCGAGTATTCTCACCATCCCTGACACCATCCCTTAGGAAAGTTTGAAAGTATCAAAGACTGATGGGCATTGAACAGAACACAACATCTGCTGGTATATATTCCTATGATGCTACTTTATTGTGGGAAAGTAGGTGCCATGAAGAACAGAACACAGAGGAACATCTAAAAACTCGTAAGAATTTGTGCCTAGAAATCAAACTTATAAAACATAAGTACATGCCTTATGACTAGATTACAGCACAGAATTGTGATACAAAACTTGCTAATGCCGTATTTAGCCGCCTATAAAACACCAAATATAAGGCAGCCCTAGATGAAAACTTTTAGGAAAAGTAACTTCTTTAATTACGTAGAATGGAATTTTTGGTATAATTCTCTATCAAACTTATTGTTTTGTAACATATAGTGGCCCATTTTAGGTTCACATTGTTTTTCTGGAGGATTCTGCACCTTATAATTAGCCCTTGTGTTCCTTTCATGGGCACATATTTGCCTCAGAATGCTAATTTCAAGATTCTTTTGGCATATCTGATAAATATTCTGATTCAGAATTGTGTTCACAGGAGCGAAGGAATCTGCATAGTGTGAGTTGCTTTTGCGTCTGTGTCTTCCATTATTATTGTATTACATTATTGTACCAGTTCACAAGAAGGGTGATAAAACTGACTGTAGTAATTGTTGGGGGTAGCACTGCTATCAACTTCATACAAAATTTTATCCAATATTCTTCTCTGAAAGTTAAGTCCATACATAGATGAAATTATTGGGGATCATCAGTGTGTGTTTTGACATAACAGATCAACTAGTGATCAGATCTTTTGCATTTGTCAGATATTGAAGAAAAAATGTGAGTACAATGAGACTGTAAATCAGCTGTTTGTAGACTTCAAGAAAGCCTATGATTCAGTTAGGATGGAAATATTGTACAATATTCTGATAGAGTTTGGGGTAACCATGAAATTGTTAGGCTGATTAAAATGTGTTTAAATGAAATGTATATTAAAGTCCATATAGGTAAACATTTGTCTTATAAATTTCCTATCCAGAATGGTCTCAGACAAGGAGATGCTTTATTGCCACTCCTTTTCAACTTTGCTTTAGAATATGCCATTATGAAGGTCCAGGAAAACCAGGTGGGACTGAAATTAAACAGGACACATCAGCTGTTAGTCTATGCCGATGATGTGAATCTACTGGGTGATTATGTAGATACCATAAAGAAAAACGCACAAACTTTAATTGAGGCAAGTAAATAGGTTGGTCTAGAAGTAAACCAAGAGAAAACTAAGTATATGGTGCTGTCTCGTCACCAAAATGCAGGGCAAAATTATGACATAAAGATAGGAAACAGATGTTTTGAAAATGTGGCACAGTTCAGATATTTGGGAACAACGATAACATCGAAACCTGACTCAGGAGGAAATTAAGAGGACATAGAACTTGGATAATGCTTGCTACCATTCAGTTTAGAACCTTTTGTCTTGTCTGCTGTCTAGAAACATAAAAATTAGAATATACAAAACTCTCATTTTGCCTGTGGTTCTGTATGGGTATGAAACTTGGTCTCTGGCATTAAGGGAGGAACATAAACTGAGGGTGTTGAAGAGAATATTTGGACCGAAGAGAGATGAGGAGCTTCATAGCTTGTACTCTTCTCCAAGTATAATTAGAACGATCAAGTCGCGGGGGATGAGGTGGGCAGGGCATGTAGCATGAATGGGGGAGAAGAGGAATGCATATACAATATTGGCGGGAAAGCCCAAAAGAAAGAGACCACTGGGAAGACCAAGGCGTAGGTGGGTGAACAATATTGAAATGGATCTTAGAGAGATAGGATGGGATGGTATGGATTGGATTGACCGGGCTCAGGATAGGGACCAGTGGTGGGCTCTTGTGAACACAGTAATGAATCTTTGGGTTATAAAAATGCTAGAAAATTCTTGAGTGGCTGCAGAATTGGTGGCTCCTCAGGAAGGGCTCAGCTCCATGAGTAAGGAAGTAAGTCTTCCAGTCTACCATCATACTAAATTTATTTGATAGGCACAATAATATAAACCCTTCAAAAGGTAAACTTTTTAAAGTAAATATCAATTACCTGTGAATGTGCAGTGTCAGTATTACTACCATATGTCATTCCTAAAATGAAATCTTAATAATTTCCACAAAGGGTCACAGTTCATTCACATCTGGCAGATGAAGTGTACTTTAGTATACTGTCAGTATCATTCGAAATCCATTCTCCATTAAAGCATCATTATTCTTGGTTGAACAGAAGCAAAGATGGAAATCTGGAATTGTGCTGGTGGATGTTATGAAATATAACACAGAAATAAAGTAAATGGCTTAAGAAATATTGCATGCGAGTATGGCCATATTGGTAACAGAATTTTAACAATCACTGTGTTGGAAATGTTTTGGTAATCCATGGGCACACTGGTTTTGAGGTATGCTAGATTTGCCAGGAGTCAGTTTTCTGAAAATTACTGGGTCAGGCTTGATTTTGTATGAAAGTTTTTCCATCCCTTTATGATGAAAGTAAGAAGCAGGCAAACCTGTCGTATAGTTGAGTAAGTATTGGCGAAGTTAGATAATTTTAAATAACAATAACTAAGTGTACTGTGCATGATGAAATAAGAGAAAAGTAAATTCATAAAATGTGTGCTGTGACCCAATTCATATTTTTTTTATGCTTTCCAAAGAGTTAAGATTAAAATATATATTTTTGTGGGTGTGAAATTTTTCTCTCACCCTGAAAGTAGAACAGAAATTAAAAATACAGTGCACAGTACATTAGTGAGGTAAAAGTTGGTTGGAAGTGGGAGAAGTGACCACTTAGGAGACTGGAATTCATGTTAGAGCAATCGGTAGTGAAGATGTGAACTAGGTGGAACAGATTAGAAGTGGATACAGTTTTGGCCATTTGTAATTATGATGAACTGTAGGGCTACATAACGTTAAAGAGTTTAACCATCTGTGCAAGTACATGTATCATCCACTAAGAGAAGGCCCTTTACTACTGTTGACATCACTTGTGAATGATATTATTATAATTGCAAATATGGAATTTCATATAATGGGTCAACATCCCCTCTCTCCCATATTGATAGAGGTGGGAGTTCAGCCAGCTAGTTGCAGATATGTAAAATAGTCCACAGTTGATAGGGTGCAACATTTTAGTTGAAATTATGTTGACAAAGAAATATTTTAGGTTAGTAGACCGCAAATATATGCTCTCTTGTTTGATGCAGTTAATGTGGTTCTTTATCCTCATTGCTTTTTTAAATGTTCCTTTCGATTATTTTATTAGAGAAGTTCTGAAATTGAATAGTCTAAGTCAGATACTTTTATATCTTGATGAAATTCGTTTAATAGGTAAAGATATAAGTACTAAGAAATGGCTATTGATGAAATCATGTTGAGACAATGCTTAGGACATGCATGTATGTTATCTAATGGACGGTTCATTCCATTCTTTCATTGAAGGTGAAATAGGCCCAGAGATGTTTCAGTAAAAGAACACTACAATACAATTTAACTTGGTAACACTGCAGTTATTGTCCTTATGTAGACTTATTCATTAGAAAGTTCTGTCAGAGTGTATTTATCGTTTTATTAATTATTTTTAATTTTTCTTAAGATCTAAATTTATATATCTTTTTATTTCAGTAATATTTTGTCTAAAAATGTACCTTGAACATGAACTTACATTTTCTCAGTTGATTCTGTAAAGACATGCCTGTGATTGATTCATTATATCGCAGTGACATAGGACATTTATCTGTTGTTCAAGGCATATTTTGTATACAGAATTTGGCATTTGGCTGTTCTCCTGTTGTAGTTATACTGACAGATTTATTTTTATTTTTGAGATTTGTGGCAAATATGAGGACCAGATCTGTAACTTTTTGAATACTAAACTTGTATCTGACACTATATTGTCTGAACACAAAAACATCATAAAATAACTCATGAAAATAGATAAACTTGTAAGACCTTGGAGTTTAGTAGTTAGCTTATGAGTTCTGTATTCAAAAGGTCCAGATGTGATTCACTTGTTTCTACTAATCTTGAAAATAAGAAAGGGGGCAAAATGTCAGTGCTGTAACAATTATGTGAAGATGGGAGTAGGAGCAACTCTTGAAACACTGTGAAAATATACCTCAGGCAACAGACAGTGTCCAGCACAGTCGTGGTGTAAGGATTCCTATTGGATCCATGAATGAATGCATAAGGGGTAGGCCTAGACTGGCCCTTGCACTCTGACTCTCAGTGATCTGTTGTGCATTATTGGATATATACTTCAGTCTACAATCCATGTAGCAGCAAGAACAAATTTTTATAAGCACGTACCACTTCTGTCCAACTTTGTCCCTTGTATTCATCATATCAAGATTTATCCTATGGCTGATACATAAAATGAATCTCCATTCACTTGGTTGATTACCTATTTCATATATCATAACCCCTGTCTTGAAAATGGATGAAAGTGATTATGAGTTAACAGTGGGAAAAGGAATGTTTATGTAATGTTTATGGAGCAGTGACCTAATGGCAGCATGTGTTGTATCATACACAGACATTTTTTTTTCTTTCAAATGTATTAAACACATGGTAGACATTTAAATATTTGGTTGCAGTGATGTTTATGGAAACAGGTATGTGAAAGACTTATTCCTCTGCTCTTATTTCTGAACCTAAAGCAGGGATAAGTAAGATGATGAATGTATATGAAAAACAGGGAAGTGCACTCAGATAAAATGTAGATACAGCTACTCTGTTGTCTGTGATTTGAGGTAACTTATGTATTTCCTGTATGTAAACATCACTATATATAGTCATTTTTTACAGGTGTGTAGCAGACATTCATGTTGACTTGTAATTTGTCATACATGTAAAACACACTGATGTATCTGCATATGTATATATTTTACTGTTTTTGTTTCCAGACAGAGGCTATAAAGAATACTTAGACAAAGAGAGCCACCATGAGAAACAGTCCTATGACAGGTAATTTATATTTTATTAGCCAACTTGTTAAATGTTTTCAAACTATTGCAAGTTGTATGTGTTAGAATTCCAAATAACCTGTTTGAATTTTCTTCAGACATTGGCGTCAGGATCGTTTTCGTAGTGATCATGACAAACGAGATCGTGATCGCAAAAGGATGCGAGAATCACCTGATGCAGATCGAATTCGAAAGGGCTCAAGATTTGATGATAGGTTAGTGATGTCATAACTTTTATGAACAAAATCTAAAGATTGTTTTGGATATTTTTATGAAAAGCACCAGGTGCCAGAATGAATGTAATTGGCCTGATGGTGGAATTATCGACTTGCACATTTTACTTTTCCGTATAGAATATGTTACCTATTAACAGGCATTATGTTGCTGTAAGCTACAATAAGACATTTGTAATTGAGTTCACTGTCAGTGTTGTAATGTGTATATATGTCTTTTATTCTCTTCTTTAAAGAAAAACTGAGCTACATGAACCTTTTAAACATAAAATTCTCTTTCATGTTCTGTTTTATAACTACAAGCTTAGTAAAACTGAATTTTACTTTAAATGGCCACTCACACAACTTCAGAAGTAACTAATATTTGTTAAAAGCAACTACATGTTTCAGCCTCATGCGTGATCAGGCAGTGTATCAGCAGAAACACTAATTCTGAATTGTGGTTATGTTATTTATGTCATGGAAATGTGAATTCAGTTTTTCAATAGCTTTACTCTATTTTCAAGACTGTGATTCAGTTTTGAGGGAAGTATAGTATAGTATAGTATAGAGATTGGGGTATCCATGAAAACAGGCTGATTAAAATGTATTTAAGTGAGACATAAATATAAAGTCCATATAGGTAAACATTTGTCTGATCATTTTCCTATCCAAAATGGTCTAAAATAAGGATATGCTTTATCGCCACTGCTTTTCAACTTGGATTTAGAATGTGCCATTATTAGGGTCCAGGAAAATCAGGTGGGGCCAAAATTAAATAGGACACATCAGCTGCTGGTCAGCACTGATCTGAATCTACTGGGAGATAACATTGATGCCATGAAGAAAAAGACAGAAACTTTAAGGAGGTTGGTGTATAAGAAAACACAGAAGAAACTAAGTATATGTTGCTGTCTCATCACCAGAATGCAGGAGAAAATCATGACAAGGATAGCTAACAAGGCCTTTGAAAATGTGACACACTTCAAATATCTGCAAATGATAGTAACAAATCAAAATTTGATCCAGAAGAAAATTGAGAGGAGATTGAATTTGGGTAATGCTTGCTACCATTCAGTGCACAACCTTTTGTCTTCTCATCTGCTGTCTAAAAACGTGAAAGTTAAAATATACAAGACTGTAATTTTGCCAGTGGTTCTGTATGGGTGTGAAACTTGGTCTCTGGCATTAAGGGAGAACATGGACTGAGGGAGTTTGAGAACAGGACTGAAGAGGAATGAAGTGGCAGGATGTTGTAGAAAACTGCATAATGAGGAGCTTGACTTGCACTCTTCACCAAGTGTAATTACAATGATCAAGTTGAGGAGGATGAGATAGGCAGTGCATGTAGCACGAATGGGGAGAAGAAAAATGCATGTAGGATATTGATGGGAAAGCCAGAAAGAAAAGAGACCACTAGGAAGGCCAAGACATAGGTGGGGAGTATAATATTAAAATGGATCTTAAGAGAGATAGGATGGGATGGGATGGATTGGCTTAATCTGGCTTAGGGTAGGGACAGTTGGAGGGCTCTTGTGAACATGGTAATGAACCTTTGGGTTCCGTAAAATATTGGGAAGTTGTTAATTAGCTGCGCAACTGGAGGCTTTCCGTGAAGTTAGTTACTCCATTTTCTGTGTATTAAAATTCTTGACATTTATTATATTATAAGAAAGTGGTATGATCAGAGCCAGATTATGACTTTGTGAGGCCCTAAGCTGTGATAAAGATGAGGCCCATGTTCTTTTTTCTCAAAAAAATGTCAGAATGAACTTATGTCCTTGTATGTGGACAAGATGCAGAGAATCATTTCTTCTGTGTTTTGCAAGAGAATGTTATTTTGTCATATTAGTTATTTTTTCCTCAATATTTTGAGGCCCAAAGCCGTGGCTTTGTTTGCCTTACATGAAAATATGACACTAGGCACGATGAATGGTAGTTATTACTAACTGATAATATAAATGCTGTAAAATTAAGTAAAAAGTAAAATGCACATATAATATAAGATGTGAATTGTGATTAGTCTGATAACCATAACTAATATGCTGTTAAAAGTGTATTTTACTAATCCTGTATGTGAAATTTAATTTGTGTATGTATTACATTAAATAAGAACTGCCTGACTGAGACATACCTAATGAAAGTATATTTCTCTGACAGCTTTAATACTTCAAAAACTGACAGTGTTTTTGTATAAAATTATTAACTTAGCACACTGATTTACAGAGAAGATCCTTTTGATCAAGACACAAGTTTAAATTTATTTTATTCTGTGTGTCTTGTTGCAGGAACCTTGTGCCAATTCCTAGGCTATCAAAACAGGAAAGGCGACAGTTATTTGCTATGAAAGTAGCACAAGAAGAAGAGGAAGAAAGGCAGCGCCGGCAGCAACAAGAGATGTGGCGCCACCATGAAGATCGCTGTTTGGCACTGGGACTTGATCCAAACTTAACAGCAGCCTTTGATCCGCAGACTGGCTACCCTTGCTTCTTCGATCCAGCTTCTGGTACCTGGCAGGCCTATCCCCAGCAAGGTTGGAAACTATTTAATTGAAATTTCATACAAATTATTTTATTATATCTGTTTATGCTGAAATTGCATGGTGTTTCTCATATGTTGGTGACAGTTCATTAGGCCTCTAACAATGTGCTTGTCCACTTATTACAGCTGAGTTAATGGAATCCATTGGCAAATATATTTTAGCTTTAGTTTAAGAGAATTAGATATGAAATAACTGATTTTGAATAGGTTTTTCTTTTCAGCCTGCTTGAAACTGTAATTACTTTTTACTGACAAGAACTTCATGACGAGACTGAGGTAAAGTGAAGTGAGTGAAGGGGAGATTGAGATTATTTATGAATGCATTCACTTTTAATGAAGTATTTATCAGTAGGACTTCATTTTAATAAAGTAGCAAGTAAATGGTGTTGTTTGTTTGTGGTTTATTTATCCATGCTTTGAATAGCTCAATTATATAGTGTTAAAATAGGATGATTAATGAACAGTTAATTGGAAGGTACGCAGAAGGAAATGGTCATAGCATAATTTGAAGTATTATTGTTGCATTTGACTGGAGGGACTGAGGCAGACCACACAAACTCTCCTTGGATAGCCAGTCTGTGGGTCAAGATACATGCTGTTACACACCTAAGAGGAGGGAAGGAGGAAGGCATAAGAAAATGACGTGCGAGACAGTAAAATAATTTCCACAGATGACCCTTCCATTGATTCCCTCTTACACATTATAGAGCAAGAGTGACGCGTTGAGCTTTTTCGTTAGCAGTGAAGTGACTGAAACAAATTAGACCATTCACCTCCATATAGTGTCAGGGTAGCAAATGAACCCAAAAGGCATTTGCATGCACTGTCTAGCAGCAGAGAATAAAAACTGTATGCTCAAAATACATTCTGAAATGGAAAGAAATTGTTTTTCCATGGAATGAATGCTATCCAACCTTGGCTGCATATGGCAGTTTGGACAAAGAACCAGTAAGTGATGAACCTTGAATATGGGAGCCAGAGGATTAACCACTTGCCTGTGGAGTAACCTAACCTTGATAGTTTTTTGAGCGTGTGACTCTGAATACTGTATAAAGTACTTGTAAGATCAGTGCTATCTTATGCCTCTGAGACCTGGCCACTGTCAAGATTGGATGAAAGACTGTTAAGTATGTTTGAAAGGAGGATCTTAAGATATATCTTTGGACTAGTTGAAGAAAATGGAATATGGAGGAAGAGGTATAACCATGAGCTATACAAACTGTTTAATGAACCAGACATTATTGGATTTATATAGGTGAAAAGGCTTGAATGGGCTGGACACACAATACGTGCCGGAGAGAATAGAATCATCAAGAAAATGCTTAATACTAAACCAGAAGGAAATAGGAGAGTGGGAAGACCAAGATTAAGATGGGAAGAATGTGTGTGGCAGGACATAAGAATTTTGGGTGTAAAGAACTGGAGGAATGTAGCATCGAATGGAGAAGAATTGTGAGCAGTCCTGAGGAAGGCCAGGGCTCACAAAGGGCTGTCGTGCCAGTGATGATGACGATGATGATGATCTCTGAATACTTCAGAATGCAAATGTACAGTATTTGAACAGTTTTATAATGATCCAATTCTAAACTAATGTTATACTGTATATTCATGATTTTCCAAAGATCTTGATCTGTTAAAGTCCAAATAACACCCTTACTTACAAGATTGTACTTCAGACTATACAGCAAATTGTGTCTTGCATAGTGCTGCCATCTATGCAGCAAAATTCATTCTGTTAGAACAGTAAAAGTTCTCACAATGTAGCTTATCATTCTGAAGAGCTATACATGATTGAAGTCAATGTATGTAATGGTACTCATTATGTTATGGTTGGATCATGATGGAACATTCTGTCATTCCCAGGAAAAGGGTTAAAGTATTGAAGGTTATTGTCTTCTGGGATGTGATGAAATGCAGTTTGATAGAGGTACCAAACTACACGAAACCACATCCAAGAATATTGTAATCTTCATAGCTGCTGCTACAAAAATCTCTAGAGTTGGATAATTGTTTTGAAATACCAAATGATGATGTTATCCCCATCACATGACACACACACACGCATTATTGCATGTTTGTACCATAATTGTGCACTGTGGCCTTACAACTGATTTCAGCAATTTTCCTTTAATATAAAGAATGGAAAAAAGAAGTTCATATGTGTTTACTGTTGGGAGTAATGTATAAAAAAAACAAGTTTAGTGATTATGTTATCTGTAGGCTGTAATGTCCCAGTGTTTATGAACCAAATTGTGTTGGTGCTCAGCAGTGTTCCTTGAAATCTGTTGTTCCTTTGTCGTGTAAGAACAGATAATTGATAAGAAATGTTTCTGCTTTCAGACCCCAGTCCATTACCACCTGGTGGAATGACTGCAGAGGTGGGTCCTTCACCTATGTTTAATCCAAACAATCCTGTGAGTCCTCATTTACCAGGTATGCCTCCCCAAGGAGTCCCTCCTCATATGATGCCAGTGGGTGGATATGATCCTAATAACTCCCATGTTCCTCATCAGCCACTGCCTTTTGATCCTGGGAACCATCCAGTGGGTGGCATTTCTGCACACCAACATCATCCAACATACACTGATCCTGGCCCCGGTGCTGTGGACCCCAACTTGACGGAGTTTATTCCTCTGCCAAGTGGTCCACAGCCACCACCCATGTTTCAGCATCAGCAACACCAGCATTTGTATACCACTGCCCCAGCACCTGGTCCAGGTTCAGCACCAACACACCCAGTACCAAGCATGCCCATAGATCCTCAGCCCCACTACCATCATCAGATTCATCCTGTGTCGCTTCCCATCCAACAGCCTTTTGTGTCTGGTCCACCTCCTCCACTGCCTCCCCCAGTTCAACTGCCACCTAAATGGAAATCTGCCAAGGATTCTGAGGGTCGTACATATTACTATCACGTGAAGACTCGGATATCGCAGTGGGAACCCCCACAGTGGACAGAAGCAGATCAGCAACCAGATTCTGAGACTTCATCTGAGTCCAGTGATGATGATGAAGATGAAGAGGAGGAAGATGAAAGCTCCAGTACAGAAGAGGAGGAGGAGGAAGGGGAACAAGAAGAAAAGGTGCTGTTGGCAAGTAGCATCATGCTTAATACATCTACTGCTGCGCAAATTTAAATATGAACCCAGCAATTTCATTACTTCTGGCATAATGCCTTAAAACTGAAACCAGTCTTTGGTCACCTGCACATATTCATATAGAACTTTGTGTTCTTGCAGCAAAACGTCAGTACAGACCTCTTGAAATTTTTTTTTTTTATTATTTACATAATATTACCAATCAGAATTACATTTGATTCTATAAGCTAATTTGCTGTAGTATTCTTCGTGATGTGGAGAGGGCTTATCCAGAGATAAGTCCTCGTTAAACCCCTCTCAGGTCGGCTGGCCAATTCCTTTTTAGTCTTCGTCCATTGTGTGATTCCTTGTGATTGTGTGATGTCATTCTATTTTGTTGAGGTATCTTGTGCTTTTCCCTTTTATGACTTCCTTTACTAGCGGCACTTTCAGGACTTCATGGAGTGTTATATTGGAAACATACCGTGGGGCGTTAGTAATCATACGTAGTGTCTTTGACTGACATCTTTGGATTATGGAAATATTGGTTTTGCTTTCTCTTGAAATTGAGTCTCTTTTTGTGCTTGTGCTCTTGTTTTAGAGTATAAGTGAAGTTTGAGTAATTTTGTATTGCCCTTGAATGGTGCCTGTTATTGTTATATAAGCTAAAGGACAACAACAAAACAGCAAATTAGATGTACTGGCTTTATTACAATTATGTACATACTAATTTATAAAAGTATTAAAATTATCAATTTCAATGCTTGTTTCTGGCCAGTAAGGGCAGTAACAGGCTTTGGAGGCTCCTACATTTTCAAGATAGTCGGCTAACAGATGGCAGTGAGGTTGCCAACTTTACATGCCGACCGCCCTTTATCCCCAGGAAGATTCCTGGTACTCATTTCTGTTAGAGGCTGAGTCCACCCCAGGGCCATAGTGCGGCTGGAAGGATTAGGTCAATTTCAAAATCCAGTGGTAATAAATCTAATAACTCTTAATAATATAAAGAGTCACTCTGTAATAATAATTTATTCTTTCATTGAGCAGATAGAAGAGGATGAAGAAGATGAAGATGAGGATGAAGTGGCTGAGGAAAAAGAGGATATTGAGGAGGAGGAAATGAAAGATGTTGCAACTGCAAGTGCAGTCCCTACAGTGGTTGAAGAGGAGATGGACTTGGTTCAGGAAGAGACTGATGCAACTGAAGTCCAGCAAGACGAGCCTAAGAGAAAGGAGAAACGGAGAGACGGCTTGGTTCAAGAACGTATAATTAGTGTAAGTACTTACGATGTTTACATATACTCTCCAAGACTGTTTTTAATGTAACTTGTAATGTTAAAGCTGTAATTAAAAGAACTGTCACTCACATGATTAATAAATCAGTCTCTTGATAACCCTCTGGAATTTCACACGTGGGAGACTGACAGATGACATAGTTAAAATTATGTGGGAAACAATGAACTTCACTGTGTAGAATCTGGCTATTGGATTATTGTGTAGCAGGTTGGTTAAGCAGGTATTTTTTAAAGTTGAAAACTTTCGTTTATGAGGGTACAAATGGAATGAAACCATTAGTAACAGAATTTGTAATGTAAGTAATGGAATCTGTAACAGTTTGTAATTATTGGTACATTTCTAGGCAACGGCAATTTAACATGTTACCATGTTAATGAATCAACACGGAACAATAGAGGAAACGGAAAACCATGGAAACGATGTTTTCTATGCAGTTAGTACTGGGACCTTATAAATATGAGTGAAGTATGGCAATAAATGGGAGGTATATGGCTAATTTAATTCCCCTCTTTAGTGTATGATGCAAGGCTATGGGCAGGCTGGCAGCGTATGATGTCATGCACTTAAGATGTCCGCTAGTAATAATTGTGCCGCACATACGAGAGCGTACAAGAAAAGGAAGCAGCTAGAAGAAGATATACGTAATAATGTACCCAAATGAACAGTTAAATGCCGAACAACAGCATAACTATAGAGAACTGTGTAGCGTAGTAATGTTTCAGTAAAGCTGTAATTATAATGTACAAAGTAGATTTATCTTACGTTTTCCATGTTACACCTAGAAACCAAGGTTCCCCAGTCACTTTTTCTTCGGTATAATAATAGTGTCGGGCATTTTCTAGGTAGGCAGAATTGGTTTATTAAACCTTTGTGGTTATGTTCCCCTTTGTGAAACTTAATGTTAATTAACTTAAAAGTTAGTAGCACGAAACATTCTAATACCTCAGAGATATCAGTGCAATAATGATTACAGGCACTGTTGTTGAACCGTGTACTGTGAGCAGCAGTGTTATCGTAACCCTTACATAAAATGTCTTGATAGGAACTTGTTGAGAAAAGGATGGAAACATTGGAAGTGAGGAACATGCACACTAAAGATCACATTTCTGAAAGTCATAAGTGAGAAAATTTTAATGGGTACAGTAAGGTAGTTGAAAGGCTAGAGTCCACAGTGTGCAAAATTTGAAAACTGGAACACCTCAAGATAAAGATACTAACAATATGGGTACTATATAAACAATAATTTATTTACTATTTGGTCTACTTGTATATCTAAAAGTATTATGGATGATCTGCAAATGTAGTGGTCAAGAATCAGCTGTATATAAAAAGAATCGTGAGAAATGGCTGTATGTGTGTTGTCCTGGTATTCATGGACAGATACCTATCTGTTTTCTCGTCTCATCTGCATGACTTTTGCTATCACAATACAGGTAAAGGTGAACAGCACATATAATTTTGATATTTACGCTTAGATCTGCTGTCATAACAGTTTGTAAGTAAAACGATAAAAATAAACCCTTATCGTTTCTCTGACTTGCTGCTAAGAGATTGTTTTAAATTGGCATTTAACAGTCGCAAAGAACATGAATTAGAAAACAGTGAAGGTACTGAAAATAGATTCCAAAACTTGATTGCTTTATACAACATAAGTTATGTAATTACACAAAATATAAAATATATACAATGATAAATTTCTAATGTTTAAATAGATTGTTATAAAATTTAGGGGATAAAAGTACTCAAAGTACAATATTAGTTTTATAATGTAAAGTTTGGAATGAAATTTGTGTCCAGATGTTTGTTTTTGGCAATGGTTTTTCTATTTCTGTAATTTAATTTTAGCCACGAAGAGAAGAAGATAAACAGGATATGAAGAAGTACCGAGAAATAAAAGAGAAGCTTCGTCGAAAGAAGGAACAGTCACGAACTCGTGAACGATCTGACAGATCAAAGAAGAGACATCGAGATGGCAAACAGCGATCTAGCAGTAAATCATCAGAAAAACCTGTCACTGTAGCAGCAGATACATCAAGTGACGCTGCTAGAAAAATCAAGGATCAGTTCCGTCTACACATGGCAGGGGTAATTGTTCAGTACCTGAACCCATACCGAAAACCAGATTGTAAAGCGGGGCGTATCACAAATACAGAGGACTTCAAACACCTTGCTAGGAAGGTATGATTCCATATTGTTTCTTCTGAATATGCTTAGTGCACATTGGCTAATATTCATGGATAGCTTTTAGTTTAGAGAAGTAATTACTTTCCTTTTTGTGGAATTCTTGCAGCAGTATAAACATTTAGTCTTTAAATTTGATTTGTTTCATTCTGGTCTGTCACACTAACAATTACAAATACAAATCACTCCGTCCAATGTGACATATAAGTTTTACTACATGAAAACCTATCAACCCTTACATGTTTCGGTCCTTATGGACCGTCTTCGGAGGAAACGTCATTACAAGCTGGAAACTACTATCACAATAAGTGTTTTGATTTAATTACATACACATGTCCTATAATGCACAATATGCATAAAGTCTTAACATTTCACAATCACAGCAGCTTCCTGGTATTGTAAAGTTTTTAAGAAGATTTCTAGATGTTGTTTAAAAACTTATTGTCAATAGTTTCTTTTATATATATATATTTTTTTTATAAACCATGTAGGTTCGTGTCCATACTCCTAACGTCCTTCTTGTATGGGGCAGATTTTGTGCCACTGTCTACCTTGATAAGGAGGCTCTTAATGTCGTCCAGGGTTTGTTCCACTGACAAATATGAGTTCCTCATGAACAAAATAGTGTTCTGTGAGACTGAGACTTTGTAAGGAATTTACAGTGGTTCTGCAGATAAATATGCATATTGTAGGTTTTCATTATGAAGTCCAGTCTAAAGAGTAATTTACTATTAAAATCAGAGTTGGTGGGGCACTGTGCTACAAGCTGGAAGGTTGTGGGTTCAGTTCCCGATGAGGTCATTGGGTTTTTCAGTTGGCCTAATCCTTCCAGCTGCACTATGGCCCTGGGTTCAACTCAGCCTCTAACAGAAATGAGTACCAAGAATCTTCCTGGGGGGTAAAGGACAGCCTGCACTTGAGGCTGACAACGTGACCGCCTTCTGTAAACCATTTGGCTAGAAAACGTGAGATCCTCAGCATCTCACAACCCTGTCAGTCTCCATGGCCTGTTACAGGGATATCTTTATCTTTACCTTTGCTATAGAAGCTGAATGTAACATGTAACCTACTGGCAGTCTGTCAGCAACCCTGCAATGTTTGTGTATGATTTTTTAAAATTAAGAACAAGTGTGTGAGTTTCAGAGATATTTATCATCCAAGTGATCGGCATTGTGTAATATCAGTTATGGTGTTCCTTAAGATTATATTTTCTGTGTGAAAAATATGCTTTCAGTTCCATGAGACCTGAATGGATAGATCACAGAGGGGGTCTGGATGTCTGGGCATAGATGGCAGGTTAATATTAAGATGTAGCTTAACTAAGGTGTGAGGATGTTGACTGGATTCACCAGGTTCAGAATAGGGTCTGTTGGTGAGCTGCTGTGGGCATGGCAAAGAATCTCTGGGTTCTGTTTAAGATGAAGGATATCTTTATTAGCATAGTAGCTGTACCTTCTGAAGGAATCTGCCCCATAGATTTAGTTTGATATTGGTTATTAGGAGTCCATGGTATGTTGGTAGTATGGTAACTGTAAAGGGGTTGTGAGGCAGGCAAGACTGGAGTGTGGTACTGCATTCTCAAGGGTTACATATATCTGCTTAGATATAAATTATTAATGTTATTTTGGACTACTGAGTTTTTAGACTTCGTCTGTCATATTATATTCTGAAGAACAAAGCATTACAGAAACTGGATCTTTTTCATCCTTAGGTGAAAGGGTGGGAGTTAACTACTCTCTTAGGTCTGTTGTAAAGTGCTAGCCTCACTCACTTCACTTAATGGACCCAACAGAGTAGGTGCCACCCGCTTTTTCATCTGAGGGTAGAAACTGATTCAGTTTCTGCAGTATTGTTCTCTTTAGAATATTGTACAATGGACAAAGTCCAAAATCTCAGTAATCCTGAGTATTATATACCATTGTCAGAACTCTTTAGAATTGACTTATTTCTTAATTTTAACAAATATGTACTGTAGTTTGGTATTAACAACTGAATTATTCTAATTGATGAAATGACTGACCTGTAATTTATGTCTTTGTAGATTTGCGTAAATGTGATATTAATTGCCACATTATTATCTGCATAGTGTGAGTGATAATTGAAACTTAGCAAGAACATTGGTCGATGAGTTTTTTTGTTAATCACATTTTTGATCATACAGTGGAGTTGAAATCAAACCTAATCCTTTAATGATATATATCGTCTGTTAAAAATCCATCTGCTTGCATATTCCTAATTTAAGAATATCGTGTTATGTATTTGGGTTTATTATTTAGATGAATGAATTCCCAGACTTATATTATTCATTCAAAATAATTATATATGCTAGTTAATGGGAAATGTGGCTAAGAGTAAGTGACATTTCTCCTTGTGATTTTGTGTATGCAGTTGTGAACCTACCTTATTCTTGCATATTTTATGGTTTGTTAAACTGTGTTTATTTTCCTGCTTGCAGCTGACTCATTTTGTGATGCTAAAGGAGCTGAAACACTGCCGGAGTGTTGAAGATCTTGAATGTAATGATAATGTGAAACATAAAGCACGTGACTTTATCAAGAAATATATGGCAAAATTTGGAACTGTTTATCAGAGACCTAAAGATGATGATTAAGTTTTAGGTAACAGGTACTTCATATGAAGAACATGTTGGAATTGAGAGAACATTGCTAATTCAGATATTCTGAGATGAAAACTGGTAGCTGTGTAATACAGTTTCTAATCATGGGTGCATTTATTAATGGTGGTGACGATTGTGGATCGTAAATTATGAAATTTGAGTAGATTCAAATCAGAGAAACATGTATGTTTAATTAGTATCTCTCATATCATAGCATCTTCACCAGTTCATAGCCATGGTTCTTGCATTCATGAAGATGAGGTCGATTCCTTGTTTGCTTGACAGACTTTCCAACTTGTTCCTACATACAAACTGTGAAATGGGAAAGGTGAAATTTGTTATGTGTTTTGTTTGTAAACTTATTTGAATATGTCTGAGGATATAGCCATAAAACTGCCCATGTAGGAATGAGAAGTTGAATCTCTTAAAATAAGCTATACTAATAATTGAGAGGACCTTCTATGTTAATATTATTTTTAGGATGACTGAAGTAAATGTGTTATGTATAACAGTTCAATTTACTGTATGTGTGACCATGGGTCATGGCCTGTCATGCAAGTTTGTTTCCGTGTGGTAACTACATTGATGCCATTGATGATCATTCCTATACAAGATCACGAAATCAGTGAGGTGCATACTTGCTGCATGTCCGAGAAAATTACTGATCAGGTAGAAGAAATGAAAGAATGGAATTTATAAATATTTGTTTTCTTTACATCTTTGCAGCAGTTATTTCAAAGTAACAATAACTGTAGACCTGTATATTTAGAAAATAAAACAAATATTGCAAAAACTTGTATTTATAAGATGTATAAATTGTTATTGGTAAGTTACATAAAATTGATATTCATTACATCTGTTCATTTTTCATATGCAGTAGATAAAATCTTGATTGTGATGAAAAAGAAAACACATGAAAAAGAGCTTGATTCTTTGTGGAACACAGAATACAGAACCTGAAATGAGACATTTGATTGATACAGAATTTCTGCTTGAAAGATTTGTAATGAGATTTTATAACCAGCTCTTTCATTTTAGTTTTTATTTATGGCAATTGTCTTCGTTTTCAGGGTTCTGTGACTAATTGTTCTTTCATTTTCTGAGTATGAATAAGTATGTTAATCTGACCTGTTGAGCAGTCTATAGAAAAACAAAATGGTTAACTCTCTCTTCCTGATAAGGGTTAGTAACGAAATAACCGTTTGGCATTTTAAGTGTATTATTGCTAGTGGGGTGGGACTAAGTCCCTTCTACTGTGGGCACTTCTGGCCTATTGTACCAGCCCCAGATGATAGGTGAGGGTGATTGTGGAGCAGTTGGCAGAATGAGATTGGCAGGGGAAACCGAAGTACTTGGAGAAAACCTGCCCAAGCACCACTTTATCCACCACAAATCCCACTTGACCAGACCCGGGATTGAACCCGGGCTGCTGCGGTGGGAAGCCAGTGACTAACCATTTGAGCTATGGTGCAGCTGCATTTTAAGTGTAAATTGTCTTACTCTTTAATTTGTAGTAATTTTTAATTACTGATAAGCTTTAATTGCAGTTTTAAGCTTTTCATAGTCTATTTCCATGTTTTTAATATATTTTGGCAATTTATGAATGTTCCTAATTCATTCCGTATGATCAGTTTGTAGTGGATTTATCAAGTTGATTTTCAGCTGCCATGTGAATATAGGTAATAAAATGGCATGTGTTTAAAGGGCAGAATAAGGGATGCAAATTTTGGATACTTATCATGAATCTTTCCAGTGTTGTACTAGAGCAGAGCCACACCATATGCATAATAAAATGAGATACTAAATTAGACTTGATCAGTAAAGGAAAACAGATTTCTGTTTCTTGATGTCTTTACGGTTAGAGGAACCAATCAGAACAGCAGTCTTAATGGAAGATTTTTGCTTTCTAATACACAGTGTGAGGAAGTACTGTATTGTGATTGTGAATAAAATCGATTTTGAGATTTTGATGGATGTACACTTTTGCAGCACACCTGAATATGAAAATGTGCTGCACATGAGATGGTAATTTCATGTTGAAAGAATCACGCTCATAATTTTGATGGGTTTAAATGTTTTCAGCCTCCCTGAGTATGAAAAAGCTGTGTTGTGGAGGGCCATATCTAGCTCCAAAGATAAGGGCTCTTTTGATAGGCCCCTAAAACAAAATGGTGATTTTCACTGAAACAGCTGTAATGGTTTTTGTTACATTTCGGCAGCTTATGGAGATCACAGATCTAAGTAAAAGTGTATAACTGATATCTTAAGGAAAACAACAGTATTCACGCTAGGGTCCCAAGTGGTTATGCAGTACATTCATGTCATTGCTTGTGTAATCATCACCCAGCAATCATCTGCTGAACAGCAGTAAGTGTCATTTCCCAGGTAATGTTCTCACGGTCGATCACATGAGAAATCGTCTCTACAGGTTGGACAGATTTTATTGTTGTTTGGTATGTAGTGACAAGCACTGGTCTCCTGAGCAGGAAGCAGTTTCATTTCCAGTGTTACATAGGCAGGGTTGGTCAGATGTGTGAAAGTATATGCACTTTCTTTGCACTGAGTTTTTCTGCTTAGGTGACATTTTTTGGTCAAAATGGCTTTCAGCCAGCCATTGTACAAATTTGAGATGGGTGGTAGCTTTTAGCATAGATATTTAAGTCAGTTTTCTGTCTCAAGATGTGTTACTTTAGCAACAGAGACATTACCTGTCTGTTATAACAACTTAATGGAATAATTATGTTTTTCAGTTAGAAATGAATGCAGTAAATAGTAATGATGGAAGGTTTTCTTCTTTTGACTGGGGGAGGGGGTTGCTACTTCTTTCACCTTCATGGCCACACACAAATATGTCCGGAGATTGTCATGTTTCGTAGTTTTCTTTGTAGGGAACTTTTTTTATAAGATATGCAGTACTTTACTTTGACAAAAAGTGCCACCATATACAATTAAAATCACCGTTACCTTCCTTTTGGCATTATGATAGTTTATTATTTTTCATTTCTGTTGTATGTAGTACAGAGAAAACGTGATTGTGAAAATTCATTCTTTACAGGTAACTGGGATATGTAGGGTCCCATGACAAAGTAATAATGCTTAATTGTTATCTCAAATTTTAGTGTGCAAGGATGCAGCTCTGATAAACCATGTTGAATGTATATGAATGTATAAGGGGTGGGCCTTCTTGGCCCTTGCATCGCGACCACAGCGATCTATTGTGCCTAAAAACCATGTTACTGGATGTTTGGACATTTTTAATTTTAATTCAGTTTCTTTGGTCTTTAGTTTTATAACCAGCTATCAACTATCAGCTGCATGAGTTTGTTAAAAATGACAGACATTTTAGGGACCATCTGTGTCCCCATGTCTGCTACATGATTATTATAGTCACTGGGTATTAGGTCAACCTCTGTCCCTGTTAAAAGTTTCCAGGATAAAACCTTACCTTGACAGCCTACTTTATAAAGCAGTCCACATACCCTGTTGCTTTGTCTAGTATAGAGGTGCAGTTTTGGACTGTTTGTAGTATATGCTCTGGGACAGCTCTGGTTGGCCCAGGCTTGTGTGTCTCATGGATTTTTTATATCTTGTTTCACTGGTTTCTGTCTGTCCATCATACACATTGCCACACTCACATGGGATGCATCATATAGTTGTGACTTTCAGGCCTGTTGTTTATAGATCTAAACATGTGTATTTTCTTCACAGGAATGTGAATTGTTATAATGTTGTATTTGGCAAGAAGCCTGATTATTTTGTTCAGGACATCTTGTTGATAGGTTATCATTGCTATTTGTGGTGACTTCTGCTTCCATGTTTGAGACTTTTGTTTTGGAACAAGATCATGCCTGATGTCATCGTTGCTGCATCCATCAAGTCTGAAGGTCTTTGTATTGTTGAGTTCCCTGTTCAGGGTATAAGCATTGCATTTGGTCTTGGTCCGTTGAATGAAAGTGATTAGTACAGCCTGCTTCCTTGATGGATGATGCTCAGACCTTGCACGAATGTAGAGGCCCATATATGTGTGTTTCCTGTGTACAGTATGTCCCAGCAATCTGTCTGATCTTATGCTTCTCAAACTAAGAATGCATTGTCCTGTAAAACTTCCAAAATGAAAATGATGTTAGGGTGAATGTTACTAGAATGTTGATGGAAACCCTGAGGCTTTTCCACTCTGCCCAACAAATGTATCATCTGTATATATGTATAAGCATGCCAGCCTCTTGGTCATCATGGTTATGACCTGCTGTCCAAAAAATACTGTGTGAAAGTTGGCTCTTATGTGGTTAAAGTGTCTTCTTATGGCAGCACCATGTCTTACAATAGACAATATAATAGAACAAGCAATTGAAAAGAAAATACATCATGGCGAGAACCCAGATCTTGTGTAAGCAGCTGTGATGTGTTCTTCACTGGTACTTCAGTAAACAGTGAGATCATGTTAGAACTGAACGAAATATATGTTTCCTGAAGACTGATGTGAAAGAGTTTTTTTTAATAAGGGCATCAGTCAAGTGTTTTGATTGCCCAACTAAAGGACAAACCAGACCTTCCTGATATTTTGTCAGTCTATACATGAGTCAGCCAATTCAGTTTACTGTTAAGTCTTAGTGGCATGTCCTGCTTATAGATCTTCTGTAGTTCTACAGTTTGGGTGCCACTGATGCATTTGAGCTGAATTTCTTAAACCAATCCTGAGTGATATTTTACTATGTTGTGAGGGAGGTCATTTGTCTTTCTATTCCGGAAGTTGGGTCTGTTGTTTACTTGTTAGTGGAGGCCATTGAGATCAGGCTTCATGCCAGAAATTTTAATGGGCATGGAGTTTCAGTGTTAGGCAGTCCTTGCAATCGATGACTAATATCAAGGAATACAGAGATATGATTTCATTAACTTTAGCTGTTGTTAAAGCTTCATGTCAGCATCCTTCATGGGGAGATTCAGGACACCAAGCAACCAGAAAATCTTCAGTAAAATAGTCAAGACTGATTAGCTCACTAGAATTCATGCTTAGATGAGCAGACCTCCACGTTGTACAGACCTGTGTAAAACTGGAATTTTCTTGAGCTATCAGGTGTGTCAAATGGTTACAAATGACTGACATTTCAAGGGCTCTCTGTATCATCATCAGCTTTAACTGTGGATTCTAACAATTCCATTTATATACCAATCCATAGCCAATGATTGAAACCAAACAGAAGTCAGTGGGGAACTGAGAGCAGAGCCATGATTTTGCTTAGCTTGGTTTTTTCTCCAAGTTGCTGTATTTCTGTTTTATGTGATAATGCTTGTCACTGGGTACCAGGACCAAGATTGGAACCCCCATGCCCATTAAAGGTTCTGTAGTGATAGTGTCCTTTATCAAGCAAACAATACTGACTAATCCTATCTAGGAAGCTTACCGCAGAGCCAGCCTCCAAAATAGAAAGACACACATGGCTTCACACCTGAGATAACATGCCTGGGCCAGCCACAGAAGCTGCTGTGGCAGAGCAGAGACTTGAAACAGGTCACAGCACCTCCATGCTAGATAAAGTGACAGGATACATGCATGGTTAGATGAAGGATGTCCGTCAAGAACAGCTTTCACCCCAGAAGCTCTAAAAAGGGATGGAGATTTCAACTTTAGTCTTGGCATCTTGGTGAATAATATGATCAAGCAGTACAGAGGTTCACTAGTCAAGAGACAAGAAGAAACCAAGTAAATTCATGATTCTGCCCACTAGCCTCACATTTGTTTGCACCGTTCTGATTACAAGCTATGCATTGGTATATTGGTGGGACAGTTTGGGTCCTGATGGTGGGAACAGAGATCATTTTTAGCCAACTGACATGTCTGTTAGAACAAGAGGATTTCATTCACTTCAGCTGTTGTGAAAGCTTATTGATGCAAATAACATTTGGAGAAGCAACAGTGTGGCACAGAGTCATTTAATTCGAGCAGTACCAGTAGAATAAGTGTGTGTATATGTGTGTGTACACCAAAGGAGCGTACTTTGAGAGGAATTTGCCTCATGTATAGTACAGTGTCGTGTTCACAGATTCAGTCTTGGTTCTGTTTCAGCAGGCCTTGAGCAGTATAATTTTCCATGGGTCACAAAGAAAGTTGGTTTTGAAATACTCTTCATGCATAGCTGTGGCACATGTTGGCATAATTCTTCACACTGTATATGTTCTGTGTAAGTGTTACAGCTACAATTCTGAAGTTCCAATCATGGTGGGTTTTTAAGAAATTTCAGGGTTTTGTTAAGAGCCTGCTCTTACAACAGTAGCAGTATGGAAACCATCCAGATTTGTTTTGTAGTTTTGTGATGGTCACTTGTGAAAAGCTGCACATAAAATTTATTATTCTGAGACATTTTTCATACAAATTTTATGATGCAGTACACAATAGACTTGATTACTTACATATGGAATAACCATGGAAGTTCTATAGCTTCTTAGTTATTGGTTATAACTTCCCATAAAGGTATACGTTTTGTTGATTATACTGTTGAAGTAACATCCTTCATAACAATTTGCAGTGAACTGTACATCATGTCACCTGTCCCTTCCATTACCATGAACGATCAAGAGATCACTTTAATAGGAAGGTGACTTCTTTTAATGGCTTCAGCTGCTTCATCTCTTAAAAACTAAATAAAATGCAGGAGTTTCTTTTGTGAAATATGAGACCCTGTGCCAAAAGTGGAACCTATGCTTGTGTGTAACTTTATTCTGCCTGCTTTCTTCATTCCCTCTTCTGGCAAGTATTTATGGATGTGAGGAAGTCCAGGCTGTTGCCACAGTGTGCAATCCATGTTAACTTATAGTCTTCTCTGCCAACATCTAGCAGTGGCTGGAATTCCACTGTACAAACATTCATGTCTTTGCTCACCAGCCAGTGACCAGAAAGGTGAAGAGACCATAACTGGAGACATCACAAGTAAGATCAGAACTTTATGGAGGTAAAGGATTATGTTATTTGTAGTCCTGTTTAAATATAACTGTATATGTAGATCTAATGTAAATGCACTGTAGTTGCTAGAAGTGACTATTGTAGGCATGAATGAGTGGATATTTGTTGTAAAATTTACTATATGCCATTATACAATAAATGTTCAATTACACACCAGGGTTCAGTGCCCAGGTAATATAACAATTTGTAGTGACTGGTTCATCTAGTGATTTGATAGTATTGACAGAAGGGAGCACTTTTTTATTAAAATCGGTGAACATTTTCAAGTATTTTCAGATATTTTACATTAATGCCATAAATCCTTATTTAAATTCAGTGGCTAGAGTAGAAGACTGTACACTAAGTTGTGACCTTAATCTGTGCTACTATCTGAACATCTGTGGCACTCCAAAATTATAAGAATGTGTCAGAATTCTAGTAGTTTAAAAAAGTTGATATTTAATGCTGGGAAACAGATACCAAAATTTGATTCTGATTAGTGAATTTTTGTTAAGCACTCCTAAAACTTTTTAGGTGGGTGAAATTGGGTTAGTCCTGAATTTTTTCGCAGTTCAAACCCTGACCAAGTCCAGTCAATACAGCCATGCCTCCATATTTATGGTATCACTTACTTGCATTGACTCCTAACAATGTATTGTTACAAACATTTTCCGGACATCTTGCAGCTCCTGAGCCTCTACTCGACTTCAGACTACGCCTCACAGTTTGACTACCCACAAAGTTTAAACTTTTATTTTTTTTTTCAGTGCACCCATGCCTCTCAGATGAAAGATAAGCCATGTTAGCAATGTAAATGGAAATGTAAAGAAATTTGTGAATAAATTAAATATTTTTATTTTCTTAGTCGTGGCTCAGAAGATTAAATTTTATAGTACAAATTTTGAGGACCGTGTGAAATAATTCTGAAATAGGATAATTGTAAACAAACATTTTAATTTCTGGCTTATTATTTAAAATGTCCAATACAAAATTTAAGAATTATTGTGTGGGAGTTCCTGACAAAGCATCATCTACACTTGTTATTCCCAATGTACCATCTCTCAGTATCAATACACATCAGTTAAGAACATGCTGCAACACAGGAACAAATAGACACCAGGTGAAGTTTGAGTAAATCTATGTCCACATTACATTGTAACCAATTACATACCATGTCAAACTTATGTCACAGTTAAGAGGCCTCCGTAGTCTAGAGGTAACGTTCCCACCTCATGACTCGTAGTACGCGGGTTCAAATACCCGGCAGAGGTCATCGAATTTTTAAGGGCGGAAAAATTCAGGGAATAAGTCGTCCGGGAGGGACTTTAAGCCGTGGGTCCCGTGTCGTAGCTTTCATCATCATCATCAGNGTATCCCCAAAGGAGGTCACTGAGCCAAATTAACGGACGTTTCCTGCCCAACAGCAGTCTCTAATACCTCTGGTAGATGGGGGAAGCATTATAGATACCTCTCAGCCAGTAGAGCCGGTCTCGCTGGCTGGGCGGGACTGATGGTAAGCACCAGTACCGGTAGGATATAGAGACTGGTAGAAATCATACGAGGGAAGCACAATGGACCAATACAGGTCTCAGTGCATAGGGAAACCCACCCTCTCCAATAACTAACTCACCAACTACTGTCACAGTTCATAGGTTTACATATGATGCTTTTAATGTCATAAGCATTTTATGTATAGATATATTTTAAATCATATAAATTTGAATCAGTTTATGTATAGTGTCCTTCTCTCATTGGATGTTCTAGGTGATGGCCAAAATATGTCAGGCTTTGTGATTTACTAATGAAAAACTATGTGCACTATATGCTATATCCTCTGTTTATGCATATCGTTACAATTTATTATTGTTATATATTATTTTGATTCATGCAGTTTATATATCACTAATACTTGTCAGGAAGTAACTGCAATATATTTTAATTTAACACTCAGTTTATGTGGACTGGGTAAAATTTATTCTGTGACAGTCCTGTTGAAGTCTTTGCATGTAGCATGTTTAATGTAATTAGTGATTCAAATTGAATGTGACTGATAAATTCCAGTAAACATTTCCCGTGCCAAATTTAATCCCAAATAATTCAGGTGGAGGAAATCAGTTTCATGTACTCTTATAAAGACAGAAGACTGCTACTCTATTTTTTGTGAATATGCAAAGTATAGGCCACAACTACTACCTGTCCAGTGCTTCATGAATATTAATTTATACACCGACAAAAATATAAAGAATGCCATCTTCTGTTGTGTTATTCTCTATAATTTGGTTGAAGTTAACCAGCATTTCAGAAGAACACACCGCTGCCATATTCAAGGTTGAAGAGTAAGCCACCCAAGTAAGCAAGAGACTTTGTCACCTGCTTCTTGCTGGCTAGTTGCTTCACTTGGCTTTGCTGTGAAGATTGAGACAGTATATTGCTCTGAAATGAGCTTCTGCTGGACTGCACAGAATTACATACAAGATGATAGTACTCTGCATGGTCACTACTATGAGAACTTGAAATTCAAGGAACAACATAGAGTTTCATATATGCCAATAATCAAGTCAGCAATATCATTGTAGATCTTGTGATAACAGTGCAAATATTAAAGTGTGAGCAAGGCCGCGCCATAGCTCAAGCGGTTAGTTGCTGGCTTCCCACCGCGGCAGCCCGGGTTCAATCCCGGGTCTGGTCAAGTGGGATTTGTGGTGGACAAAGTGATGCTGGGTCAGGTTGTCTCCAAGTACTTTGGTTTCCCCTGCCAATCTTCATTCCAAAAATTGCTCCACAATCACCCTCACCTGTCATCTGAGGCTGGTACAATAGGCCAGAAGTGGCTGCAGTACAAGGGACTTAGTCCCACCCACTAGCAATAAAAAAAAATTGTGAGCAACCAATATGTTGCCTCTGGAATTTGGTCATGACATGTGTGAATCCTGATCCAAACTTGTGGGAATATATATATGTCAGCTCAGTGGAAGTAATTATTTAATACTTTCTGGCCTGATTGCAAATTGTGTTACATATATTAAAAAACTGTATTATTATATTTGACTTTCCTCTTCTCATTTTGCAGGCCATAAATACATTCTTGTTTGCTATCATGCCCAACTGAGAACATTTAGACCAGCTGAGTGGCACTTTGCTTCCTCCCCTTTCTTACTACAGAGGTATTTGGTCGCTGTTGCCGCCAAAACTCTTGTCTTTTGTTGAGGAATGCTACACCTTCTTTAGCATATGAAGCAATTGGATTCTGATAACCTTGCTGATTCATGCACTTGATATCTGTAAACAGTACAGTAACAGGTAAAAAAGTTGCAGTATCTGAATTCATATACCATTTGGGAATTAGAAGATGAAATTATCTCTATCTGTGACTATTCTTTTCTAACATTGACCCTGTTTGCTATTTGCAATCATTGTATCATTTCTATATTGTCATTTAAGTTCTAAATTTGCCACAGCAAATGGACCAAGAAACACAGTATATAGACTGTTTATGAGATAATTACAATGGCTGAAATAACTTGTTTATATCACACATATTTTCACATTCATTCTCCTGGTCACCTCCAGACCTCCCAAGGACATAGCCTAAAATGATATTTGGAGAACAGTTCATGTGCCTTATCATCTTCATATTGTCATAAAGAAAGAGATAGATAATGAGCATAATCCTCACCCGTAAATTAAGATTCATAATTTTTTACCATGAGCAGTATCTGAATTGCTCTTAACATCTGACAGTAGCAGTTACTGTCTTAAACTTGCTTTCCTTTGGAAGATGAGAATAATTGGTTGAAAGGTCCTAGAAGAAATTTGTAAATGGTATTCTTAACTCTGTGAAAAGCATTAGAACATACTAAATAATTTAAGGCTGAAAAATTGTTGCAATATTCTTTTAAGTAATGTCTTGATTGTATCAATCATGTCCACAATTGTCAAGAACATGGTCAAGATGATAGCCATCAGTTGCATTAAAAAAACAATCCTTATATGCAGCAAGAACTGGTACTTGGTACTGGTATTTAGCCATTCCTGAATACAGTGTGACTGAGGTCAGCTCTTTCTAAAGGACCCAATAGTGTAGTTGAGTTCCCCCTCACCTGAGGATGGAAACAGTTCCAGTTTGCTAAATGTTGTGTTCTCTAGTTTTTAGAATAACCAACAATGGACAAAGCCCCAAAATCACCATCATCAAAACCTTTTATAATTTAATTGTATTACAACCTCAACAATAGCTACATAAATACACATACCTGGATGTTTGAGAAGTTTCTCTAGGTAGTCCTTATCCACACACAGCTCTCCCAGGAACTGGCGAGACTGCTGCTTGCTGACAGTTGAGCTGGCTTGACTCTTGCTGGCACTGCTGGTGTTCTTAGCAGATCCCTCATTGCTGGTGATGGCTAGCATGGATTCATCGGCTAGTGGCAGATGTTCTGTAATGTCAGATGTGACAGTAAAATGAAGAAGGAAAGCACAATGGTTGCAGTAAAACAAAAATAGAAAGAATGAAAGGGGAAGAAGAAAGAGTAAAGAGCATTAAGAATTGAAGGTTAAGAAGAGTAAGTAATGATAAACAAAAAAGGGAGAGAAATGAAATGGAAGACAAGATATGAATGAATAAGTAATCATAAATAAACGGTACAAACTGATTTATAATTTTTTTTTGCCATTTTGCTTTTAAAGAATCCAAATATCGTTTAATTTATGGGTAAATTTAAGTTTCATACATATAGTATAGAGTATGAAAGAAATTATTCTGTATTTAATTATTGTGGGTAACATAATTCTTGGCACAGGTAGATGAAAATAGACGTCAAATATTTTATTATATTTAATTAAATAGAATTTCTTTAAGTTTTGTTTCACTCATGTTTGGATAACGAAAATGAAGTGAAAGTGTAGACTGGATTCATCTGACTTGAGATGTCCAGAGTTTTGGTTTTATGAACATGGGAGTGAACCTTAAAATTTACAAAACTTGTATAAATTCGTGACTGTCTTACAGTTAATAAAATGTTTTTGCCAAAATTAAATGTTAAGTATAATAAATTACAATTTTACCTACTGTTTTGTGTGGGCATGACAGTATGCCAACCAAAGGGGTGGGAAGTGGGGGGGGGGGCAGAGACTGGGGGGTATTCAAGAACAGAATGCTTAGAAGTATATCTGGACAGAGAAAGTATACTGTACATAACGTTTAAATTTAATTCTTGTTATCTGGAGGTATTATAATTACAGTGAGTTTTTTTGCAGTTGTGCAATCGGGATTAAGAATTTGATGCACCTCCTAATAATTTGTAACAAGTAATAATAGACATTAAGGGAGGAACATAGACTGAGGGTGTTTGAGAACAGGGTGTTGAGGAGAATATTTGGACCGAAGAGAGATGGAGTGACAGGAGGTTGGAGGAAACTGCATAATGAGGAGCTTCATAACTTGTATTCTTCTTCAAGTATAATTAGAATGATCAAGTCAAGGTGGATGAGATGGGCAGGGCATGTGGCACGAATTGGGGAAAAGAGGAATGCATATAGGATATTGGTGAGAAAGCCAGAAGGAAAGACCAAGACGTAGGTGGGTGAACAATATTAAGATTGATCATAGAGAGATAGGATGGGATGGTATGGACTGGATTGGCCTGGCTCAGGATAGAGACCAGTGGAAGGCTCTTGTGAACATGGTAATGAACCTTCAGGTTCCATGAAATGCTGAGAATTCGTGAGTAACTGCACAATTGGCAGCTTCTTGAGAAGGACTCAACTCCATGAGTATTCTGTTCATAACGGACAAGTTTGTTTCACTGCTGTGCTGTGTGAAAATCCCGTTGTATCAGTTAGGGGATAATTTGTCATGAAATATTCATTTCTGTTAAAGAGAGTAACTGAATGGAAGTAATTTTACATTTACAGATTGTTTTGTCGAGGTGCTATAAATACAGCTCATCCATTTATGCTCTTCCATATTCTCTGAATATGTCGTTGTTTGTGACCTCTGAGGAGAGTGATTTGTAACCATTTCCAGAATAGCTTTCAATGAAACATGTATTGAAACAGTTCTAAATGTCAGTTTTTAAGTCATTGTGTATCAATTATTTGCCGTAGCTTTGCAGCAGTGCTCATATAATACTAAATAAATTTAACAGTACTTTTGGGAGTATAAAACGCTTGTTACTGGGAGAATGCCAACAGTAATTGAAATTGACCAAGTAACTTCATATTATCTGTAATAATACTTCTTATCTGTTTAGTTGTCAATATTATTATCCATATTACTTATCACAATTATTTTATATTGTATATTGATTACTGTGATATTGTGTAAACTCTTAAACTTGTTTTATATTGCAAACTATTTGATAACTGCTTGATTTATAAGCAAGATGAGTTCATACTACTTGACGATTTCTATATCTGTTGGTTGTTTAAACCATGTAAGGATTTTATGGAATGTGAATAAATGAATGAATGAATGAGTAAAATTACCAACATTCTGTAGAGTAGTAGTCATATCAGTGATTTTCTATGGGTTTGGATACTTTATGGGGCACACGGTAGCGTAGTTGGTTGAGGGGCTATGCTACAAGTCGGAAGGTCGCGGGTTCAAGTCCCGATGAGGTCACTGGATGTTTTTTCAATTGACCTAATCCCTTCCAGCCGCACTATGGCCCTGGGGTTGACTCAGCCTCTAATAGAAATGAGTCATCATCATCATCAGTAATCTGTCAAGACGACAGGTCCACAGTCTCTTTCAAAACAATTCCTCCACTTAATGCGATCTAGAGCTTTCTCCTTCAAATGACAGTATCCTCTTCTGTCCCCAAGGTCATCCAGCATC